TAGAAGGACATGAAACCAGAATCACGAAACTAGAACAGGGTGAAAAAGAAAAAAGGATTTCTACAGTAAATTCCAACAATATTCCTGATGCTCCATTATCTGATATATCCGATAATGCTTCAAATTCTGATATATATCAGGAATCTTGACTCAGCCAGAGATCTTGATTACATCAAGATGCATCGCATCACTTATGTACAAACCTAAATCATTAGAGGATAAAGCGGTTGATGAATTCGTAGATTCAAAATATAAAGAAACAGTTAGTAAAGAGATAATTCAAAATATTAAGGAGAAGAAGCTTCGAGATCAAGAGAAAATCAGAACTTCACAGGATACTAAATCCTCTTTGAATGTAAAAGATAAGCAGGGGGAAAAAACCGGTCCCTCAGGGAACGATCAAAGTCATGTGACTTCGAAGACTAAAGTATCTGTGAAGCAAGATGATGACATGATTCTGAAGGAATCACTTGATAAAAATCAAATTATAGAACAATGCTTAATACATAAATTATGTTCATCCATATTACCTGAAGATAATGTCAGCTCTATCGAAATCATCAGCTCTTGTATTAGTTTAGAGAATATGATTTCAGGTTCTGCCCAGCACTTATTTATTTGAAACAGCAATAAAATCCAGTCAGCAGGAAATATTAGACTGGCACAATTATTCCTTTGAATTTGAGAGCAAGGTAGATGCTCTTACAGCCGATGGTAGAATTAAGGATAAAACGGCAAGATCAATGATTTACAAGGAAATGAAACCATATTTCTCTACTAAAATTACACAAGCTAACTTGCGCAAGAAAACTCATAGGGCTAGAAAACATCTCATGTTATTTGGGAAAAATGGGGTTGGAATAGATAAAATTAAGCTGTTCTCATATAGCGCAACTGAGATTTCGAAACTAACTAATACACAAATCCAAAATGTCATAGATCAAATAAAAAAATATACTAGCAATTATCAGAGTCTTGTGACTTTGAAAACTGTTCCCTCAGGGAACGATCAGATTATTGTTGAGGTAAGTACTATAATCACTCCTTCTATTCAGTCATCTAATTCAATAGATAAGATGAGTGAAGAAGTTAAATTTTCGCCGGAAACTAAAGTAAATATACCTACCGAATCTTATGTTTCCCCAAAAAACAATCCCAAAATCAACTCTCCGAAGCTCTATCCATTAAAGAAAATGCTATTGAAAGAAAAGTTTAAAGAGGTTATTAACAAATTAACTATGCATTTCACTGATTCTCCAAAGGTAGATCTATATTTTAGCGTAGATAAGGAGGGTGGGCATCAGACTGACACTTATTGGGTTTTCGATTCACATTGTTCACTATGTAAAGAAAATCATATGAGTTTGAAAGGTAAGTGGTGATCAGATAATCAAGGCAATAAATTTTATTATTTGTATTGTGATAATATCAAAGATCCAGGGATTCCATTCGATGAGGTACTAGAAGCCTATCCCGAAAATTCCAAATTAATTCAGGAGTTAAAGACTCAATTCTTCACATCACCTATTCCTTGGAATAATGCACTTAAATTTCTAAATAAAAGCATAACAGTGGAGGCATGATTTTCTACAGAGTATCGCAAGTCAGAAATAGAAAACATTACATCTGTAACTCACGGTGCACATCGATATATATATATTTTTTAAAATAAAAAATGGCAGTGCCATTGACCCCCTTCTTTATTTAATAAAAATTGTTGCTGAACAACAATATAACATACAAATAATAATTTTTTCTAATTATACATTAAGGATCGTAATCATTATCACTATTATCATTATCACCGGATGAACCAAACATATAACTATTATCAGAATGGTCTTCCCTATCACCATATCCATAGTAATACAAAATTGGTTTATGGAGGGTATTATCTGCTTTGAATAGAGAAGAAACTAAGTTCTTGATGATTATATTTTGAAGAGATTATTTTGTAGACAATGTAAACTTTACTTACAAGATCTGGGACTATACGACTTAGGTACATAACCTACTGGGATAACAACCCCAGAGGTGTTAGAATCATTAGTCGTGGGGGTCTTGTTATTATTGGTCTTGGAGGCGTTACTATCATTAGTCTTGGGGGTGGTGGTATCATTGATCTTGGAGATGGTGGTTTTATTAGTCTTGGTGGTGGTGATTTTATTAGTCTTGGAGATGGTGCTATCGTTAGTGCTCATTGTTTTGTACCTAAATACAAAAAATCATCGTAAGTAAAAATTCATTTTCATAGTTTGCGTTAAATGAAATAGCACATTAAAAATAAATTACGGGCAAGTGAATCAAGTAAAAATATATATGAGCAAAAAATAACGTTATTGCTAGATACAGAGTATCCTTATTTCATGAGACTTATCTTATGGGCGGGAACTTGCTTATTTTTATACCTTTTTGACTTTCTATTATTATTTAGATCTAAGAACCTGCCAGCTCTTTTAAGTTCCATTCGTGGATTTTCTTATCGCAAGATCGTATATAACAAGAAAAAGATTCTAAACGTTATTCATAATAGTTAATACTGGTACGTAAAAAATTGACCGTGAGAAATAATTCTGCAGAGAAGTTACACAAATCACATGTCCAATTGTATAATCGAGACAATCACTTTTAAAATTTTAATACTGATTTACCTTATGACTTTTGAAGCCCGCCCAACTAACTCATTTCTATAATTAGGGGAACTATTACGGAACGATCACGGAAAGTCACGGCTTAATCAGCGGAAGATAATAGATTTACCCGTAATTTGATACCCATGATTAGTGCCCCATAACTCGTAAATAATATTCGGAAATAAAATTCCATTATCGTTATTAAGAATGTGGTTGCATTAAAATAGCACACATATGTATTTACAAGTATATTTTTCGTGACGCTTATTCTAAATTTATATATTTGATCCCAAAAATCGTGATACATGTTGATTGAACGTCTAACATGTGTTTTATTCATCGTGTAAAAATATTTTTGATACACGAGTGAGGTATATTGATTATTAAATAATCCACCTCTTAAAAACAAATATGAGGCTAACAATTATATGCAAACCACGTAGCAATATGGACGGCCTGAATTAATTATTATATATAACAGATAAGGCAATAGTATTTCCGTATATAAATCTTTTTTTCATTCTATAACCAAAATTTTTACTGATATTCCATTTTTTATACTAGATTACCTTCACGTTGATAAGACAGTCGCTTAAGTTATTCGCATGGGTTCGTGAAATTCAACAGAGCCATGATAGTCCTGTACTTTAATGAAGATGATTTGTCTGGTCCATGAAAATACACAATCTAACCGTACCTTTAATTTATAATCTTCTCAGGTGTAGTTATAGCCTTTCGAGGCAGATCCAGGATCCGACTATTACCTCCCTGTAATTTACTTCTTCTCTGATAGTCATGCAAAAAATTTTGTCTATAACTTTAGGCGATAGGGTCTCTGACTTTGTTTTTTTTTACACTTACAAAAAACACTGCTTTGAGGACTTGATCGTCAACTATCATTATCTACGTAGTAAGGAGAGAAAGACCGAACGAGCTTCCCATGGTTTAGTCTACTGAGCTATGAGATGAGAAATAGTTTGAATGTATCCACCTCGAAATTTATATAAATACATAATCTATTGCAGAGCAATGACCCTTCGGGTCTACATCATCATTATAATTTAACCCAAAAATTTTACGTTGAAGAATCCGATACCAATTAATAATAAGCAAAAATAAATCAGGTAAATAATACATTTTTATTTTCTTGCGCAAGATTACTTTGCGTTAATAGATCGATCACCCAGATTACTTGTTACGGGTATATATAGTTATGCAAAAAATTTCGCATGAGTTTTCACCTCTTGACGATAGGGTCTCTGACTTTGTATGTTGTGTATTCGAAAGAGCATAATCATCGTTGCTGGTGGCTCAGTACTTTGGCTTGGGTGATTTGTTCGGTCCACAAAAATAATTAATTGGGTGATTTGCTTGGATCGTATAAAATACAATTTTAATGAATTTCTTTTCTATACCCTTGAGGACATAGATAGGTAGTTGTCCACCGTTTTCCTAATGCTATTCTTGAGATCACAATTGGGTAATGCATAAAGTGAAATAGGCATTCGCCAGCCTTTGGCTAAAAATCTATGAAGTGTATTCTCTAATACTATAGACTTTTCATTCTGATTTTTCAGGTTCAGAATTCGTGGTTTCAGAAGGTAATGCATTTTTTATTGCAGAGCAGGACCGAAGGGACGACCCCAAGGGGTCATGGTTCTTCGAACCTATCTTATGCTTTTGATGTAACTCTATCTCTTTTTGCAAATTTAGTGACGTATCGAACCTTAACCGAATTGCTAGTGGATCATCCTCAGATCTATCTAAATCAAATACAATAAATTCACCTTTGCGTAAGTAGCTGTTAATAACCATTGATGCATTTTTTACATCATTTGTATATCTACGAATAATTTTAGAGACATCTTCATATGAACTACCAGAGTTAAAAAGTACTAAGTAATTTGTATTTTCACGCATAAATGTAGTGATTTTATGATATTTCTATGCCATGAATATACATGAAATATTCTGATGTCATCCATTTTCAAAAAATTGATCAATTCGATTCTGTATATGTTCTGAAACGAGACACAAATCCTCAAAAACAGTTGCTGTACTTCGTTCAGATGAAAATGCTTTTACACTAGGAATTTTTTCTGGTGATATATAACTAAATTGTATATTTTTATAGTAAGATACTTTTAGGTCTTTTGAAATTATACCATACATATCTAACAAATATCCATTTTGGTTCGTCAGGATGATAATCACAAACTATTAAATCATCACAAGAAATATATCTCCTCCTTTTTTTCCTTTATATATGTATTCAGCTTTATCACCCAAAAAAAATTTGCCAAAATATTAGTCTTATCTGACCCACTATTTTCTGTAACTATTATTCTAAGGGTCATGTTGGACTAACAGGATGAGATTGACAATGAGATGCAATATGTTTATTAGCTTCATTCATATTCATAAGAAATAATTTCATTTTCTGTATGATGACTTTTATAAAAAAGTAATATATATTTATAAAGGTAATGTATCTCTATATATCATTATATTTATTTTTTATTTTTTCTGTCTATTCCATATAGATCTAATAAATGTAATTCACATAGTAATAATAATTAACAAAGCAAGTAAAAGCAATACAATTAATAGTGATCCCAATATATCTATTGTAGAGCAATGAATCTTCAACTCTACAATAACAGGAATTACTTTCATCTCTTCCATCAGAATCTGGAAATTTGATTCATTCAAAAAGGGAGCATGATTTTCTGGCTGTACAAGGTATGGAGTTGTTTTTGATATTTCTTGAAGTATATTATTGTTAGTTTTACTAATATCAATTTCATCACTTACCTTGGAAATAATTTCAATATCTACTTTTGGAAATTCAGATATAAAAATATTCTTTCCATCAGAGTGATCTGGTATAATAGTATCAATTTTTCCAGCTTGATTCATACTTTTTTGATGTATAAAATATTGACTGAAATTTTTGTTAAGTTTACTAATTACAGATATATTATCAGACTTGATTATGGAACTTTGTTCCTCTCTCTGTGTATTTTTTTCATCATCCCTACCAATTATAGATTCCAATATATTCTCAGATTTCAGGTGCTCTAACTCACTAATTTTCAAGACTAATTTAACTATCTTAGACTTGAGAGACTCAATTTCAGACTCTTTCTTTAATGAATCTTTCTGAAATAATCTTAACTTACTTTTTAATAATTTCATCTTATTCTGAAATGATTTAATCTTCTTCAATTTTGTAGCATTCTTAGTCTTAAATTCTGTAAGAAATATATCTTTGCGAGTAATCTGAAACTTGAGAGTATCTAACTCTGAGTTTAATCATCTATTTTCATCTATAAGCTAAAATGCATGCTTGAAAAATTTCTTTTTATTTATATCAGCCTGATTTAAGTCATGATGTAATTGATTATTTTCCTGATTAATATTTTTATTAAATTTTGAATATACTACCTGCAGATTTTTATATTCACTAATTAATTTAAAATTAGTCCTGATACTATTTTATAATATCTTCTTAAGTTCCAATTCTCAAATACTACCAAGTTGATGATCCTTTTCCAAAATGATATCTCACAATATATGTATATTGATCATAATTTGAATTGATTATATACAAGTATTAAAGATTAGTAATGGCAAAAAATATCATATTTTTCATGCTCATGTTATAGAATATATATATTAGATAAATACTGGTATCTTTCAAAAATTATTATTTCAAAAATGCTAGATAAATACTAATATCTTTTGAAAATTATTGTTACTTTTTGATTATTTTTGAATTTTTTTTTGTAATTATAAAAAGGATGGAACATATAATAGCAGAATATTATCGTGCAGATATATTATATTTATCTCCAGAAGTACTTAAAGAAATAATTCATTCTCAAAAGACAATTAAAAATGCTTCCAGAGAAATAGCTAGAAAATATGCAACTTTAACTTGTCGAATT